CTATTAATTGGGATTACTTAAATATTCCACCCAGACCATATTCAAAACAAGAACTATGTCAATTTACCTGAGCTAAGGATCTTGTCAATTATGCCAACAAAATAAAAGAGCTCTACAATAAATAAATAAATAAATAAATAAATCTTCTTCCTAAGAAATACCCTTAGTAGCGCCATAACTGTGTACTAGATCATGCATGAGCAAGAAAGACCAGAATGCGATTAGCCGGGTTTTTTTAAAGCAATGAGTTACTTTCAGTACTTGCAGGTAAAAAAAAAAAAATCTTATATGTATTCAGGCTGTAGGATCAAGGATGATCAACAATAGGGCTGTTAGTAAGTAGCCAACTAGTCGAGGTGTGTAAGTGACTAGTCGCCTAGGCAAGCTGTGGTCGGCATGAATAGCAGCTACTGCTGGAGCAGCCCCTGCAGGCAGCCAGCCCTAGTTGCCATGAACAGAGGCTGCCCCGGCAGCAGCTTCTGTTCACAGTGGACAGAGCTGGCCACTGCAAACAGGGGCTGCTGGCTCAGCACAAGCCAGGACTGAGCAATCTCAGCTCGCGCTAATCCAGGATGCTGCACCTCTGCATTTTAAATGTAGTAAGAGACCAGTGGCTGTAACTGCATTTAAAATGCAGAGCCGCAGTGCAGGTGGCTCCCGGAGCTACCCCCGCTGAGGCTTTGCACATCGGTCCTTATCGACTAATCATATAGTCGACACAAACTGTATCAACTACACGATTAGTCAGATAACCGCAGTTTAACATCCCATCCCACAATGCGCCCACTTCTTTTCAGCATCCTTTCCTTCTGTGCAAGCAGAGCTAAAGCAAAACTTCATCAACACTTCACCACACTGGGCTGCCACAAGGAATAGTTGTGTGTGAAAATGTGCAGCATTTTCAGTTATTCCAGTGGATTTAGGGCGCTCCAACACTACTTTATATATCTGACCACACAGCATCTCACTATACACGCCTGAGGGAATTCTGCACCAAAAATGATACATTCTGTGCCAAAACTTAAAATATTTTGTGCACAGTATTTTGAAATTCTGCAAAATTCTGCATTTTTGTCAAAACAATACAATAGAATTACACTATTTTCACTGTTTTGCTGACAAGTTTTTTTAAATAAATTACCAAAAATAATTGAAAAGGTGAGATTATATTGTTTTTGTGTTATTTTGACAATTCAAATATACAGAATGTTACAGAATTTTAATTTTTTCAAGGCAGAATTGCCTCGAGTACCAGTTTTCTGCATAACACAGTCTGGGCGTGGGCAGCTTGGTGGGGAGTCTGGATGCCAGGGGGATAGGACTCTGCAAGGAGGGGGGAGGTGAAGCCGGTTAGGCTCAGTAGAGGGGAGAATGGGGCTTGGTGGAATGGAGGTTCAGAGTGAAGCTGGTTGGAGACCAGTGGAGTGAGGGGTCCAAGTATGATGCAGGGGGTGAGTCTTGGTGAAATGAGTGTTGAGGGGTTCACTGGGGGGGGAGGGCTGGGTTCAGGAGGCTCCTGTTACAGAGAGGGCTCAGTGGAGGGTGTTCCAGACACGCAGGTAGAAAAGGGGTCACTGTACAGTTTACTGCTCCCCAGTCCGTCCACCCCCCATGCATTTGGACCCCTCCACACACCTGAAACTACATACCTAAGCCACACCAGTGCAGTTTCCTATAGCAAGGGGATGTTTCTGGAGCTTGATCTGACCCATCCCAGGTGTTCTATGCAGGGAAGGGGGAGAGAGAATTCCATCTCCATCTCCCCTCTCCTCTCCCAGTTGGGACTATCATCCCTGGTGACCAGGGTATCATCACAGCCTCCAGTGCTCAGCTTCACAAAGAGACACGTCTGAGTTGCCAAGCTGTGAGTTGCTGGGAGGGGTAAAATAGGACAGTACTGAACCAAGCAATTGTCCTTTGCTTTTACTTTATAAGAGTAGAAAATGTGTGTCCTTTCACTGGAACAGCTATAGTTTTGTACTTTCAATCTGCAGAGTGAACATCCCGAGCTATCTGGTCCCTACAGAGGATATTCTGCCTGATAATTTTGGTCAATTAGTGGATTCTTCAGGGCTTATTCAAATAATCTTTTCCAGAACTTCATATGAGTGGATCAATTCCTGCAATCTGACTATTTTTTTGTAGTGGGTAAGTGGTTTACTGTGGTCAAAAAATAACCCTCTTACACATGTGGTTGAAGGTAAAGCTCCTTAACCCTGCAGAGATTTATTTACTTGATCAAAATTTATTTTGAGTTTGAGACATTTGATCAATTGTTTATTTTCCTTCCAACTTCACACAGATGTGCAGTGTTGGCATCAGTTCTCAAAGCAATTACATTTCCTATCTTGCTAGCTTGAATCTCCACATATCCATAAGTACATCATTAATGGTACAGGATAATTAACTAAAATGTCATGAAAAGGTGGCAACAAGGCAAGAAGCAATATTCATATCCTTGCCTCTTATTAGCTCTTCATAACTTTCATTACAGCAATAAGAATATGGCTGACTGCAGGCTATCAGCTTTCATATCATGGCAAAAGATTACATGCTTTTTAAGGAAGATATTTTGCTGTCACATTTTCCATGTCTTGTTTTTTTTCTAACAAAGTTTCTTTCTTTTTTTCCTTTTGTGTACTGCTGGCATGCATTTTATTGAATAAATAATCATTGGTGTAATAATTTTATGTATTATCTTTTATCCTGAAGAATACCAAAGCATTGACATACATCAAGGAATTTATATATACATAGGGATTAAGCTACTAGGTAACTATGGCTCTCTTTGAGATCAAACAAATCTCTTTATAGCACACTGAGATATTACATGTTATACAAGATTAGCCATTACCAAATGAAACTGTAGGGAGAATTTAGGTAAACAAAATATAATTACATGAGTTTAAATTTAGCTAGAATATCCCATTATAAATGACTCTCTCACTCTTGGTCCTGCCATGAATGCAGAAGACTGGACTTGATCACTCGAGGTTCCTTCCAATCCTGTGATTCTATTTTTAAGTGATTTCTTTATTTACTTCTATTGTGTACCGACTTTTGTTCATGCATTGGTCTGAAGAAGGGAAGAGTGAGAGGAGAATTTGATAGCAGCCTTCAACTACCTGAACAGGGGTTCCAAAGAGGATGGAGCCAGGCTATTCTCCGTGATCACAGATGACAGAACAAGAAGCAATGGTCTATTTTGGATTTTAGGAAAAATTATTTCACTACAAGTGTGATGAAGCACTGGAATGTGCTACATAGAGAGGGAGGTGATAGAATCTCCACACTTACAGGTTTTTAAGGCCAGTTTGACAAAGCCCTGGCTGGGATGATTTATTTGGGGTTGGTCCTGTTTTGAGCAAAGAGCTGAACCAGCTGACCGCCTAAGGTAACTTCCAACCTGCTGTGTATTGTGGTATAGATTTAGGATATTCTGTTTTTAAAGTTGGAAAACAGTTTTGTGAAATTATTTCTATGTATGTATTTTCATATTTATTTCCTTCTCTATGTTATGGTTCACTAGCCCTTACCAATGATACTTTTTTCCTGACCATGTGAATACTGTTCTTGCTGGATTTGGTATGGTGAGAAATTTGCAAAATACCCACCAGTACTTATTTTCAGTTCAAATCCTGAGATCAGTTAGTACCCCATGACATAGTATAACCACAAAGGACTTTCTTCCATCCATAAATCGGAAATATACCTATCGCCAAAAGTTTCTAATAAGTTAAGTGAAATGTATTGAATCTAATCTTCAACAAACAAGCAGGACAGAAGTAAATTCAGATGCTAACACATTTGAAAAACAACATTGTAGTGTCCGAATTTCCAAGCTCAAGAATAGTTTTGTCTCATTGCCTAACTGCAAGTATTTCTCAGTACATGCAAACAGTAGAAATATAAGGCCCAAATGTGCTTTC